GTTTTGAGTCCCCCACCCACCCTAAGGTTGGTCTATACAAATTTCCTGGAATAATAGGTGTCTATTTAACAAAGACCCATAAACAATACCCTAGGGGTCAGGTGGCCCCCATAGTCACTTATCTACCCTAGCTGGTCACTCTGTTGCTTAGATGGGCACTCTCAGTAAATACTCAAACCCCAAAGGCTAACAGTGTCTTCTCACCTGAGACAATCTGCTTTCAGTCTATTGAAAGTGTATTCCTTCCCCAATAAACTTACCTATCACTTTCACTGCCCATCTGGGTCTTACCTAAGTTCTCTTGAGATGGCTGCACTGACCTTCCAGTAAGGTGCTAGCCTGGATCTCTCTTCCTCTCCTCATAGAGCCACCAGTACCATCATGGGGACCCTGCTTCCAACCTCATCTAACTCTTAACTACCTCCTAAAGGCCCTATCTCTAAATACTAGCAGCATATGAGTTTGGGGATTAGTTTCCAACACATGAAATTTTTTGGGGGGGGCTCATTCAAACCACAGCAATGCATGTAATAAATGATTGAGCACCTGATATGTTCCAGACACTATTCTAGGAACATGGACACATGCAGGAAAATGGAGGGTCCCTGCCTTCGTAGAAATCAGTTTAGTAATAGAAGAAGTATGATAAACCTTATTATCTGAACCACCACCACTTCCATCACAACTCTCTAAAAATGTTGAACAAAAATATAACAAATATAATTTTAAGTGATTAAGGTTGAAGCATCCAGTACCATTCTGAGTCTTTTTTTCTTTTTTTAAGATAATCTCACTTTGTAGCCTAAGGCTGGCTGTGAACTTGTGATCCTCCACTCAGCCTCCCGAGTGCTGGTGTTACAGATGTGTACCTCCAAGCATGACTCTGTTCCAAGTCTGTGTTTTCTTTCTGGAAGTTTATAGGATTCTTTGTTTAATTCCTGGTGTTCTAGAGCTTCCCATGGGATGTCACTCTGTTTAAAACCACTGTGCTAGAGCGGGAAGTGTGGTTCAAGTGGTAGACCATCTTTCTAGCAAGTAGAAGACTTTGAGTTCAAACACCAAAATTGCAAAAATAAACTAAAATACATAAAACCACTGCATTGGGCACAAATGAGCTCTTTTAGTCTGAAAACACATTCTTTCATTCTTAGAAAGTTTGTTGTTTTTTTTTTTAAATTTTTGCTTGATAATTTCCACCCAGCTATTTTCTTTGTTCTTTTTCTGGGACTCCTATTATTTGGAATTTTCACATTTTAAATTTCTAAGAGCAATTTCGTTCTTCAATGTACCTTTTCTCTATGCCCCTCCTAATTCTTTGTTGAATTTTAGGAACATTTTAAGTTTTCCTTTCCAACTTCTTTCTGTTTCTTCCTTTCTCAGTTTTGCATTACTCATTCTTTTATAGGTTTGCTCAAGTATCTGTGAACAAGTGCCCCTCTCCCCCTTCTTTCTTTTATTTTTCCTTTTCCTGTCCTAAGGTATTCAATCTGCCATATTTAACTGGAAGTTAAAGCTCAGGTTTTAATGCCACATTGGAACAGAAGACAAGACCTTGGCTCAAAGAAACATTGGGTTTAACCTGAGCTCTCTCACCAAAAGCCAGGACTTTCAAAGGATGTTAACAGCAGTGAAAGGGTAGACTAGAAGGAAAGTCTACTGACTGGCAGAGGAAAATGACAAGAAAGCTTTTTGCCTTGGTTCTGAGTAAGAAAAAAAGAACTGTTTTAAGAATTTATAGACAGAGACAATGCCACAATTTTCTTTCTTTCTTTATTTATTTTCAGCACTGGGGTTTGAACTCAGGGCATCACACTTGCAAGGCAGACTCTATCACTTGAGTCACTCCACCAACCCAGTCAGGTTAATACTATTAGGGAATCCCCAGCCAAGGAACATAAAAATTGGTCCTGGGTATATGATACCCCTCCAGTGTCTAATCCTCCGTGTGTGACTTTCCTAGACTGTCTTGCAGAAACAAATAGGTGATGTGTACACTGTGAGCACAGGACTCTGAAAACTCCCACAGCTAATGGGAAGTGAGGATGACATAACCTTGTGCACAGACACAGGAGGTTAGACTCAAGAGCTTTATAAATGCAACAACCTGAACACTACTAAGTGTATTTGGAAAGTATTAAAGATCTGAAAGGAAGATTTAAAACCATAAGGAAATAATTCAAGATTATGAAGGAATAGAAATCTTTGAAAAGGAATTCTGATTCAAAGTCATTATTTCTTTAACTGTTATCTTTCATTCTACTTCCTTCCTCTGCAACTTGTTTGACTTCCTCTTCTATTCTCATTCATCATCATTCGTTAGCATTTTCCCATACTGTAAACTGTGCTGCATTCTGGATGTATCTTCCAGTCAGTAAATTCTCACTGCAGGTTTTTCTGGTCTGCTATTCAACTATGTTTTGAGTCTTGCAAAGACTTCACTTTTCATTTCCAGAAATGGTATTTAACCTGGTCACTGAGCTTCTCAGAGTTGTGGGGTGGGATAGCTCTATGCAATATGTAGACTTTTAATTAACGCCCCCGTGAGCTGTCAGAGTGGCTCAAGTGGCAGACTGCCTGTCTATCAACTGTGAAGCCCTGAGTTCAAACCCCAGTACCACACACAAAAAAAATTAACTCCCTCAGATGTAGTACAGTGTTTCTGCTATTTCAGCAGAATGAGCAGGGAATTTAACATAAATGTCAATTTTAGGCTCTGTATTCGAGACCCATTGAATCAGAAATGTTGACTTCCGATTTGTTGGGTCTAGAAATCTGTATTTTATCGAGATAGACACATGCTCAAATTTGAGAACCACTACCTTGCATTACATGTAGAAAAAAAAAAAAAGATCAACAACTTTAGTATCCAACTGAAGAATTTAGAAAAAAAAAAATTGCCAGGAGTGGTGGCTCATGCCTGTAATCCCACCTACTTGGGAGACGGAGACCAGGAGAATCTAAGTTCAAGGATAGCCCTGACAAAAGTTAGCCAGAGCCCATCACAATCAATGAGCTGGATATGGTGGAGCCACCTGTGGTCCCCACCACTCAGAAGGCAGAGGTAGGAGGATTGTCGAATGAGGCCAGTCCCAGGCCAAAACACAAGATCCTATCTGAAAAAATAACTAAAAATCAGAAAAGAGCTGGCAGTGTGGCTGAAGGGGTACAGTGTCTGCTTAGCAAGCTTGAGGCTCTGAGTTCAAACCCCAGGACTGCCCCCCCACAAATATTAGAAAAATATCAAAATCAATCTCAAATAGATAGAAGGAATAAAATAATAATGTTAAGATTTTTTTATAGGGCTAGAAGTGTGGCTTATGTGATGGAGCACCTGTCTAAAAGCATGAAGCCCTGAGTTCAAACCCCATAGCTGCCAAAAATAAAATTGCTTCTAAAGAAAAAATTTTTTCCTGCTATTTTAATGGCTTAAATTCCATGTTAGGACCCCTCAAGAGACACTGTCTTTGCTTTTAGACTGTGACAATCCCTTTTTTCCTCTAAGTTGATTCTAATAATAAGTGGACCAGTACAAGGAAATTAGAAAAAGAAAGTGTTACATAGAATATATTTTAAAAATCCAACCTGGGAGCTGCTGACTCACATCTATAATCCTAGCTACTTGGGAGGCTTAGATTGGGAGGACTGAGGCTTGAGGTCAGCCGGGGGAAATAGTTCAAGAGACCCCATCTCCAAAATAGTGACAGCGAAAGGGACTGGAGGTGTGGCTCAAGTGGCAGAGCGCCTGCTTTGCAAGCATGAAACCTTGAATTCAAACCCCAGTCCCACCAAACAATAGCAACAAAAAAGATATATATGTATGTGTGTGTATATATACATATATATGTATGGATATATATATATATATATAATATCTTATTATAGATATTTGTACAGATAGGACCATACATTTTATCCTGGACAAAATCATGAGAAAATATTAAAAATGATTTTTTTGTGGTACTGGAACTTGAACTCAGGGCCTTCACCTTGAACCACTCCACCGGTGGCTCACATCTGTAATCCCAGCTACTTTCGAGGCAGAGATCAGGAGGATAGGATGCAGGTTCAAAACCAGCCCTGGGCAAATAGTTTGTGAGACCATGTCTTGAAAAAAATCCAACACAAAGGAAGACTTGGTGGAGTGCCTGCCTAGCAAGCATTGAGGTGCAGAGCTCAAATCCCAGTACAGCAAAAAAAGAAAAAAAAAGAGATGGATTATTTCTATAAAAATATCCGCTATTAAGAGTAAATCTTTAAATTGGTTTTACGTTTCTTTTTCCTTTTTGGTGGAACTGGAGTTTGAACTCAGGGCTCTACTGCTTGAGCCACACCTCCAGTCCATTTTACTCAGGTTATTTTCGATATAGTGTCTCTTGAACTATTTGCCTGGGATGTTCTCAAACCGCGATCCTCTTGATCTCTGCCTCCCAAGTAGCTAGGATTACAGGCGTGGGCCACAGGCGCCAGCTAGATTTCTTTTATTTGCAGCAGGACTTGTAATAATAAATTTAAATAAGTGTCAAAACTAAACTGCTGGCAAAATTTAAAAACATGTTTTAGGTCTTTCAAAAACCTGGATACTAGCCGAGCATGGTGGGACAAAGTTGTAATCCCAACTACTCAGGAGGCCGAGGCAGGAGGATCACAAATTCGAAGCCAGCCTGAACAATCTAGCAAGACCCTGTCTCAAGATTTAAATAAAAGGGGGTCGGGGAGCAGGGTACTATTCACCTGGGTTACTACTGTAAGGAGTGAGGGTGAGACGAATGGCGGGGCATTAGAACACATGAATACAATGCAATTCATTCATTCTTCGAACACTTGTTGAGGGCCCACCACGTGCCAGGCTCTTTCGTGGCGCAGGAAATACAAAACACGGAGCGTGTAGTTCTGCCCAGATCCCGCTAGGGGGCGGACCACAACTCCCATGCTGCCCTCGTGGCGCCCCCGTGTGCCGGCCACGACTACAATACCCACAATGCTCCGCGCCCGCTCCCGGGTGTTTTCGCCCCTCTCCTGGCGTGGGACGCGGTAGTGGCCAGCGGGAGTGCCAGGCCTGGGCTGCTCCGTGTCCTTCCTCGGGTCAGGGACGAGGTAGTGATTGACTTCTGGGTGCTGAGCCCGGAACAAGCGCAGGCGGCCGGAGTTCCTCTGGCAGGTTCGCGCCCCCACCTTGTTCCGGGTCTTGCTCGGTCCGCGGCTGCCTGGACGGCCCGGCACTGACTGCCTGGGGCAAAGGTGACCGTCGCGGCCGCCGGGGCTGAAGCGAGGCTGCGGACGGCGGCATTGCCGGCGAGGAGGAGGACGACGAGGAGGAGGAGGAGAGAAGATGGCGTCGGAGCTGGAGCCCGAAGTGCAGGCCATCGACCGCAGCTTGCTGGAATGTTCCGCCGAGGAGACGGCGGCGGTGAGTGCCGCGCCCCGAGGAGGAGCCCGCCCGGAGGCCGCCGACCCGGCCTGGGTCTTCCGTCCTCAAGGCGCCAGCAGAGCTGCGCGGCGCCCCGGCCACCTCCACATCCCCTCTGCCCCGCGAACCCGTGCGCCCCATTAAGGCCCCGAGACTCGCGCCTTTGACCTTTACAACAACTCGTGGGAGAGAGCAGGAAAGACACGCTTCCTAGTGTTTTTGGTGCCATTGCCCCATTTTCCTGGGATCAGCGGACCAGTGCTTCCCTCCTCCGGCAAGCACGCTTGCTGCCCCAAGTTTATTGCTGGGACCACCTTTGACACCAAGGTTGCAGATGGCTTGGCCCCTCATTTCCACCTGCAGTGCTTGCTTTTTGGGCACTGATTTGTAGTTAGTGGACAGCGTGGATGCATTTGTGGAAAGTAGCATCTGGACATGTTTACTAAGCCTGAGAAAGTAATAGCGGAGGCTGGGAGGTGAAAAAAGATCATTTTTCTAGGAGTTGGGACAAGTTGGATGGGGAACAAACGTTATATAACTTTGCGAGGGTAGCTGTGGTCAGCAATTGCAAGTTAGGCTTGTCAGAGCTGGTCACAGTATAGCAGGAGCCATTAGGCCCAGAACTTGAATCATTCAAACTCAGAAGTACTAACTAATGAATGTGACGCGCCAAGTCGCGGAGTTGTAAAGTGATTACTTTAACTCCCTGATGTCTCTTTCCCCTGTAAGGACAGCGAGTACTCTCTCGCACAAATAGTCCTCAGCGATTATGAATGGAGCAAAACAATTAGGGCCCCATCTCTAAGGCCTCCAATTAAAACACCCATTAAATAAGTAAGCCACCTGAATGTTAGGGACAAAATTTAGACGTGGGGGTGAGAGATGGACTCTGTGGGACTTTTGGTCATTTCCAGTGAATTGGTGAGGACACCAAAGTCCAGGTGGAAATAAATGACAAGAGTAGGTAGAGGTGAAAAGTTTACAGAAACACATCTTGAATGATGAGTCTGCTTGTTTTGTTGTATTTTTTAAAACAACTTGGCTAGTCTAAGTCTGTTTGCATTTACATTCTACGTAATATTGCAAAATCCAAGAATTCTCAGCCCCCATCTGCCTTTCATTTATCAAAGGAATTTGAAAAAAGAAAATGAAAGTGGTATTACAAGTAAACAGGAAGACAGAGCTATTTACTAGCTGGGTCTCTTCTAACTGATATCTCATCTATTGGCCTCAAAGTAGCCTTCCTTTCTGCCACCAAATGTGTCTGTTGGCTCAGTGACACAGGCTGCATCTTTCTGCCACCAAATGTGTCTATTGGCTCAATGACACAGGCTGCATCTTTCATTTTCCTCATTCTAAAAATGAGGGCTGTCAAGTGATTAGAGCTTCTCCAGTTTGTTGAGGTTCCTGAGGAAATCAGTTATAAAGCCAGGGCGGGGAGACATTGCTCTTAGTTCTTGTGCAGTGAAATTTTCATATAGATGTAGTGGGGGAAATGCAACAAAACATACTTAATTTGGACTTAATTTGACTTTGTGAAGGTCACAATCTGAGCTACATTTTACTTCTTGTTCTGTTTACTTTTAACTGGCTTTCTAAACAGTTATATGTATTTTAAAAAGTATAGTCTGAAGGCCAACAAAACTCCTTCAAATAAAGAAGATGTAAATTAATATTAAGATAAAATGTTCTCCCAGCTGTATGACCTTAACCTGGTAGTACCTTGGAAGGGTTTTACTGTCTGTATTTTTAAAACACCGTATACTTAAAACTGTTCTTTCACCTTAGGCTCCAACACAGCCCCTTATCACAAATAAAAATGAACTAATAAAGTTTTCTGTTAGCATTGAAATTAAATTTTAGGGGCTAGAGATGTGGCTCAAGTGGTAGAGCACCTGCCTAGCAAGCGTGAGGACCTGAGTTCAAACCCCAGTACCATGAAAAATAAATTATTTTAGAGAAGACAAATAGAGAAAGCAGATTCTTTTGCAGAGTCTAGAGCTCTGTAATTGTTAATTTGCTTTTTTGGTTGTACTAAAGTTTGAACTCCTTGCACTTACTGGGCAGTGCTGCACCACTTGGGCCATATTCCCAACCCCTTTGCTTTAGTTTTTTTTTGAACAGTCTCACTGTTTATGCTCAGGCCTGCCTGGACTGTGATCCTCCTGAGTAGCTGGGATGACAGGTGCACACCATCACGTCCAGGTCTTACTGGCTGAGATGAAGTCTCAGTTGTTTTTTTTTTTAACCTGGGCTGGCCTAGAACCTCGATCCTCTTAAATCTTACCTCCCAAATAGTTGGGATTATAGATGTGACCAGTTCTAATTGGTAATTTGTTAGGATCATTTCCATTTAAAATTTCCTAATGAGCACTGTCTTTAGCACATTTCATTTACACTTTTCTTATAAGAGGAGGAAAGACTTTGTTTCCCCATCCGTTCTAACTAGTGTGCCTCTCAGATAAAAACAGCCAGGCTGACTCTTTACTGATTGTACACTTAGGGTATTACTGGATCCTCTCTTCTCAGTCTTCTGTTTCTTGATGCACTTGATTCAAGTATGATTCTCCCAACACTTCTTGACTTAATCTGCATTTCATGCCACATGGTGATTACATTATATTCCAGTGAGTGATTATCATTTAAAACATACTGTTTTCTTTAAGTATAAGAGAAACACCTTTGAACATCTGTAACCCCAGCATTCAGGAGACTGAGGCAGAAAGATTGCAAATTTAAGACCAGCCTGAGCTACTTAGCAAGACCTTGTCTCATAAAAGAAAAGGAAAAAAAAGAAAGAAAGAATGAAAGAAAAGAAGTCCAAGTTCATTATATGTTTTATATCCTTAATGATTATTTGGAGCTTTAAATTTTTAAATAGTTTTACAGAGATATAACTCACTGTGGGTTTTAGTATATTCATATATATATATATATACACACACATACACATATATAAATTATATATATATAAATTATAACCGTTACCACAATCAACTTTAGAATATTTTATTATCCCCCAAAAGAAATAGTCTATCCAATAGCAGTCACTCTTCATTTTCCCACAAACTCCCCAGCTCTAAGCAACTCTTAATCTATTTTCTGTTTTCGTAGACTTCCCTATACTGGACATTTCATAGAAATAGAATCGTATAATATGTTGTCTTTTGTGACTAGCTTCTTTCTTTTAGCAAAATGTTTTCAAGGTTCATTCATGTCGTAGGATGTATTAATACTTCATTCCTTTTTATTGCTAAATACTCCATTGTGTGGATATTCCAAGTTTTATCCATTCACTAACTGATAGATACTTGAATTATATCCACCTTTTTGGTATGTGAGACACGATGTTACACACATTTGTGTACACATTTTTTGTTTGGACCTTTTTGTTTCTCCTGGTTATATACCTAGAATGGAATTGCTGGGTCATATGTTAATAACTCTTTTGAGGAACTGCCAGACTGTTTTCCAAAGTAGCTGCATCATTTTCTAATTCTACCACCAGCGCACAACGGTTCCAATTTCTCCACATTCTTGCCAGCTCTTGTCTGTGTTTTTGATTATAGCCATTCTATTGGGTGTGAAGTGCTTTCTGGTGATTTTGATTTGCATTTTCTTCATGACTCATTATGTGTATCTTCTTTGCCCATTTTTCATTTAGGTTTTTTGTCTTTTATCATTGAGTTTCTGTATTATTTTTGTTGTAAATACTCTCCTTACTTAGAGCTCTTAATGTCATTTTTTTAATAATATGGTCCCCCAAGCTCCATTTGAGCACTAGTGATTATTGTTTTATGATTAACTGACATGCTGCTTAGCCTTGTTAGAAAGTAAGCCACCAAATGTGGGTAAAGGATACAGTTTTAATTGACTATAGAATAATAATTAGGTACAGTGATAAAAAGACGAACCTCTAGGGATTCTTTCATTTTTGTGTTTATTGCACTTGCTCTCAATCCCACAGTTTAAATTTAGCACTCAGTAAAAGCAGAGCTCCTGGAAACATTGTCATAACATGTTTACTTAGTGGAATGAATTGACAGTTTCTTTATTTCCCTTATGGGGAACTTTAGTGCATTTAGATATGACAGCTACAGGTATCTGACACAAGGACAAATTAAAATGCAGCCGAATTAGAAATCTCACTGATTTTTCATCTTGAAGAATCTGTTGCAGTTAGCATATGTTTGAATTATGCAAAAAGCTATAGATTTTATTCTTTAGAGAAATGTGAGCCATTATGTTGAAAGGCAGTCATAAAATTTTTCTTCCTTTATGTAAGAAGTATGTAAGTTTAAGCAGGTTAGGGTGCCTATAATAAAGCCCAACTCTGATAGATGGTTTTTAATTTTTCATTTAATGGCTAATTTTTGTTTTTTGGTTGTTTTTTTTTTTTTGGTGGTGCTGGAAATTGAATCCAGGACCTTATGCATGTGAAGCAAGCCCTCCACCAAAAAACTTCATCACCAGCCCCGGTAGTAAGTTTTTTAGAGATGGTGAACATATGCTTGTTTTTCTTACTAGATTTTTAAATTTTTTCATAATTTATAATAATATATAATAAAATTATATTTTAAATTAGATACTTGTTTTTACTAATTATATGTTTAGCTGATTTTTTTTCTTAACCAGAAGCTGATATTGCTTCTAAATTTTTTATTGGGGAACTCTTATGAACTAATTTGGCCTGTGTGTTGTTGGAGTCACAAGACTACATAATTTCTTTTAAGAAGCATTTTATTCTCCCTAGATTAAAATTCTGCAAAAGTGAAGTTTTAGGAGAAATGGGAATATAAAATATAAGGAAAATAAAAATTGTTTTTTATTTTATTATATTTGTCATTTAATTTGGCAATACTGGAGTTTGAACTCAGGGCCTCATGCTTGCTAGACAGTGGTGGTCTGCTACTTGGGCCATGTCCCCAACCCCCCAAATTGCTTACTCAATAAAACCTTTCATTGCATTGTAAACTAAAAATTGTCTGAATTCTTTCAGACTTACTAATTTTTCATTCATAAGGAATAGTATAGGATAATTTTATTCCTTTATTCGTATTTTGGTTTCCTGACAGTAAATTTTTTACAGATGGGGAACATATGCCTGCCTTTCTTACTTAAACATTGGTTATTTACCCTTGACTGTGGCCCTCAAAAGTGTCTATTAGCTTAAAGAATAAGATACTAAGATTACTTGTTGATGACTCTTTGCTTTCTACTATTTTGAAAGAAACGTGTCCTTTTTATAGCTGAAAGTTTATGTATGCTCCTGTGTGAATAAAGTTTTGATTTGCAGTTTGCAGTTACTTTCTAAAGGGAGGGAATCCTAACACTTTGAGATTGTCTCCCAGGAAATGCTAGGGTTTGGTATTTTTTGTTTGTTTGTTTTTGGTGGGACTGGGATTTGAATTCAGGACTTCGCACTTGCAAAGCAGGCACTGTACTGCTTGAGCCATGCACCTGGTCCATTTTGTTCTCGTTATTTTGGAGATGGGGGTCTCTCAAACTGTTTGCCTGGGCTGATCCTCCTGATCTCTGCCTCTTAAGTAGCTAGGGTTATAGGTGTGAGTGGCCAGTGCCTGACCCAGTAATAATGTTTTAGCAGTAGTTAAGTTTCTTTCCTATTTACATAAAAATTATTAAGTGTTTGGAAAATACAGTTTCTACTCGGGGAAAAGCTCACTGTTATTGTTTATAAATTTCCACTCAATCCCTTAAGAACAAAATTTTTAGATTTTTAGTAAAAGTTCTCTGAAATATGAAATTGACTAAAGTTAATATATGCCACCTGATGAATATTTGAAACCTATGTATGTTATTTTTAGAAGGAAGGAAGTAGGCTGAAGTAATACTTAAAAGGAAGATCTTACATTGACTTTTGGTGTTAGACATCACTTGAACATAGTCTGTCTTAACAAGGATGTCACTGAAATTTAGGTAATCCATAGACAAACATTGAGCTTATGAGTTGTGTTATCAGTTCAGTTAACTACATTTTAGTAGAAGTGGGCCATTTTATTTCATGTTTTCTGATTTAAATTTTTTCTTGGCTTAGAGCCCAAATGACTTGTAAATTATACAAAGCAGTATGGATAACAAATAAACATGTAGGCAGAGTGACAGAGGAGACAGGGATAAATGACAGAATAAGGAAATAGAAAGCAAAAAAAAGGAAAGGAGTGCTTTGTGTAGGGCTAATTTGGTTTGGTTTTTAGACACCTGATCTGTGCTGCAGGCCTGGATTTTCCTTTCTCTGCTTTCATTAATGTCACATAGAGCATCTTTCTAGAATGTCAATATTATGTGACAGTAAATACTAAAAACATATTTATAGTCATTCACTTAACAGTTTTACTAAATGCTCACTGAAGCCGGGTTCTGTTTTAAACCCAGGTGAATGGGGAAGGACTGAGGAGACATCTTAGAGGAAGTTAAAAAAAATGAGATCCAAAGCATGAGTAGAAAATAGTTTTGTAAAAAGCACAGAGAAGAGTAAGGCAGGGCAGGAGGAGAAAATTGAAGATACAATGAAGACAGAGGACTTTTTAAACCATGGTGGTAGACTTGCTCTTTAATGGATAGCTGAATGACGTCATGTTGATATGGTGCAAAAATTACAGGCTAGAAAGTGAATTGCAGTGAGGCAAGGCTGGGGGACCCAGTTAGGACATTGTTGCGTGATGGAGGTGAGAGTTTGGACTATGACAATGGAGGCGGTGGCTATAGAGAGAAAGTGATGGATTCAAAAGCTATTTGGGAAGTCTAGAAGAAAGGATGTGCTGGTTAACTGGATGCTGGGGTGCGGAAGAAGGGAGATTTTCAAGGCTTTCCGGTTTGGATACCTAGGTAAGTGTTAAAATAGGGAAGTAGGGAAAAGAACGGATTTTGGTGGGGGTTCAGTTTGGGGCATGTGAGTTACTGCCTGTGAGATATCTAAGTATATAGGTAGTTGAGTACACAAACATGTGTGCACATATGTATACGCTCATTTATTAATCAGTGAGAAATACAGCCAGTGTCTTGGCTATTCATGGTCATTGCCTGCTCTCTCTGTAGGCAAACTGACATGAGAATCTCTGTCACAATCAGAATAGCATTCAGAAATCAGATGAGCTCAACCCCTAGTGTCTCTATAAGAATTTCTTGTGATCATTTTCTCATACTAGAGAAGGTTGCTTTAAGAGTCATTTTGCTCTAGACACCAGTGGCTTATGCCTGTAATCCTAGCTTTTTAGAAGGCTAAGATCAGAAGGATTGCAGTTCAAGGCTAGCCTAGGCAAATAGTACGTGAGACCCACCCCCCCTCTAATCTCCAAAATAACCAGAGCAAAATGGACGGGAGGGATGGCTCAAGCAGTAGAGTACCTGGTTTGCAAGTGTGAAGCACTGAGTTCAAACTCTAGTCCAATCCCCACCCCCCCAAAAAAAAGTCATTTTGCAAAGAAGGCTTGTTTTATTTTAATTTTACTTGCCTTTTTTAAAGTAGAAATCTAAAATAATTGACATTTAAATAGGTTACATTTCCAGTATACAGTGATGTTATAAATAAGGTACAACTTTTCATTAATTTTGGATCTAAAAGTTGGATATAATTGTTCAAATTAACAGTTTATTGATATTGCTTAAAACTATTTCTTTTCTCTCTCTTTTTTTTTTTTTTTTAAAGAAATGGCTACAAGCAAGTGACCTCACTAGAGAAGTATACCAGCATTTAGCCCACTATGTACCCAGAATCTACTGCAGGGGTCCCAATCCCTTTCCCCAGAAAGAAGACATGCTGGCACAGCATGTTTTGTTGGGCCCAATGGAATGGTACCTTTGTGGTGAAGATCCTGCATTTGGATTTCCAAAACTTGAACAAGCAAACAAGCCTTCTCATCTTTGTGGTCGTGTATTTAAAGTAGGAGAACCTACATATTCTTGCAGGTAAAAATTATCATTTTCTTTTTAAAGACTTTTTACTGGACCTTTTTTTTTTTTTTTTTTCCTGAAACCTTAAAATACAGCATTTACATTTAAATGTCCACATTACAGATACATACTGTTTAATAAGTAATTATAAAATACACATTCGTGTCATGATTTTCCAAATGAAGAACTGGATTTTCCCAGCATTCCAGAAGCCCACTGTGTGCTTTCTTCTCTCTGGTAATTAACCCGTCTTGATGCTCGCAGTCAAGACACGTTCTTGATTTTTTAGTTGTAGTTAATTCTTCTTAATGTTCAGATTGCTCCACATTTGGCTAGCAGGAGTCCCATCACAGTAGCCTCTTTGTGCTTTGCACTGCCTCCCTTAACTTTGGATGCTTCTTTCCTTTCTGGCACAATATGATGTCCACAGCTCTTTGTACTTATTCGACTGCTATGTACACTCAGTCATTTCTCCAAGGAGTTTCTTTTGAGTTGGAATGATAGTAACTGAGATCTGGATACTGCATATACTTACTGCTACTAGGAAGACTTTACTTTTTAAGACACTTTCTGATGAAAACTGAGTATGCAAGTGTAGAAGAAGGAAAGTTAAGTTCCTGTTCCCTTTTTAATTATCATTCCCAGAATAGTCATTGCTGATACTTTCCTGTATGCCCCTCCAGAAGTTTTCTATGCATCTATAGGCCCATGGTGTTTTTTTGTTTTTGTTTTGTTTGACCCACTGGGGTTTGAACTCAGGACCTTGCACTTCCTAGGCAGATACTCTACCACTTGAGCCATATCCCAAACCCTTTCATGCTTTAGTTATGGTCTCATGTTTTTGCCTGGGACAACCTCACACCTGCACCTTAAACATACATACGTGCACACTTACATACAAAAGGAATATGTAGCATATACTAGTCTAAATTTTCCTTTCTCTGACCAACACTTGACATCTTTCCATTCACTTACATAGCTAGATAATATCCCATTGTGTGAATGTACTGTTGTTAGAGGCCTTGTTTAATTTTTTACAAACCATTCTCCTGTAAATTTTAAATTAAGTGATTTTTATTTTATTTGTTACGGTACTGGAGTTTGAATTCAGGGCCTTGTGCTTGCTAGGCAGTCACTCTACCTCTTGAGCCACACCGCCAGTGCACATTAAACTAATTTTAGCTAAGGTCATATCTTTTACTTAGTTGTTCTTTGACTTTCATGATCTTGACACTTTTGAAGATTATATATCAGTTATTTTGTAAATGTCTCACAATTCGAGTTTGTCTAGTACTTATAATTAGATTCAAGTTGCATCTTTAGCAGCATTACCACAGAAGTCACATGTTTTAACCTTATGTGGCATACAATTTTGTTCTATAACTGGTGATGTTGATCACTTGATTAAGGGGATAGCTGCAAGACTCCACTGTAAAGTTACCCTTTCCCTGTGTAATCAATAAGGATTTTGAGAAGTACTTTCTGATTATGAAATGCCCTCTTCTGTGTCAAGCTTTCAGTTATCTAGAATCTTGTATATTTTTTGCCATGCTGTGGGTTGAACCTGCAATTTATTTATGTCAGTACCTATTCATGGGGTCTTATTATTCTCTTGCTTAAATTGTTCTGGATTTGTCCCGAAGGAGCTCTTTTAAGCTCTTTTTCATATCCCTGTTATTCTTTGAACACTTTCTTTCTTTCTGGCACAAGATGTCACAGACACATCTTGGGTTTTTCTCAGTGCTTGCTCTGAAATCAACCATTTTGCCAAAAAGCCTGACTCTTTTAGTGGAAAATGGTGTTCAGAAAATAAGATGGAAGATAAGTAGGTGTGCTTGTTGCTGTTGGGGCATCACTATTCCTAGGTACACAATGGCATTATGTTTATTTTAAATCTATCTAATTAACATTGAAATAGATATTAAAAACCATGCATTTGTAGTAACCTATCTAGTTCTAATCCAGCACCACCCCTTTGTGTATTTGTAATTCCCCTCTCCAACAGGATCAAACTTGAGTCTCATTACCCTCAAAATATGTACTTATCTGATCATTCCCCTTTATGTAACTATTCTTTTGCTTTTTTGCTTCTGCTCACACCCAGCTCTGTGTGTAACCATTTGGGCTCTGTACCTTGTGCTGAACCATGGTGGCCTTCCCTCTACCTCTGGTTAGGGCAGATCCAAGTTTTGCTGTAGGGTGCATAGCATCCAAGGCATGGCCTTTCTTGTGTGTCAGCTGGATGTCTGTCTTGCCTAGAACTCCAAAGTGCTCCAGCACTGCTTGCTAGACTTCAGGTGTCTTAGTGGTGCTCTCAGTCCTATAGTAATCACGTTCCCTAGGAAACCCTGAGCCAAGGACTTACCCACCACTGATCCCCGTGTAGATTTCTGTCCCTTCCCATCCTTCCCCATCCCATGCTCATTCCACCTCTCTGGTACCCTGAATCACAGAGTTTAGCTGTTTTTCTGCCCTGGACTCTGGTCCAGCCCAGCTCAGTGGGACCTTCCTGCTGCGCTCAGATTTCAGCTTTCTGTAGCACAGGTGCAGGTGGTAAATTATCCCCTCAGTCAGAGTCAGGGCCTTCCTGGGACTCACCTCATGAATTTCCCTTCCTTAGTTGTTGCAGTTTTGAGCTGCCTATTGTTCAGTGCCTGAATAGAGTTGCCTTCATGTGTTTTGTCTTGTTTTATGATTGTTTATAGTGATGGTAGATGGGAGTTAGTTCATTACCAGTTATCCCATCACAGCCAGAAGTGGAAGTCCCAAGTTTATTTTAACCAATGAAAGTTGCTTATGTTTGCATAAGGCACCATATTTAACACTAATCATTTTGCAAGTATTGTGTTTAATCCTCCATTGCCTCCAAAATAATATCCTTGAGGAAACTGAGGATCAGAACAGTCAAGTGACTTGTCTGTAGTCAGTCATAAAAACCTAAAACCAGGTCTGATAATAAGGTGGAAAGACCAAATTCATTCACTTTCTGTTCCTGCTACTCTATGCTCACAAGATAGATTACTTCTGTGATCCAAAAATGTGCAGTTTCTTCCTACCACCAAGCAGGTGATCCATTTTGTAGCACCAGCTGTGCATCCTTTACTCCAGTTCACTGCCACAGTCTGCCAGGAGATGGTGTCAGGTCCTACAGCTTGAGGCCTCAGTCCTGTAAGAGTGCTCCCCACTTCAAATGCCAGTTGCAATTCTGGATCCCTCTGAACTTCTGACCAACCAGCTACCAATTGGGGTCCCATGACCCTCTCCTTGGATTTAAGTAATTTGCTGGAGTGGCTCACAAAACTGAGGAAGATATGTTTACTGGGTTATTATAAGGTTGTTTCAAAGGATACAGATGAAGAGATGCATAGGGTAGGTATGAAAGAAGCTTCCATGCCCTTTGTGGCAAGCTACAGGATGGTCCAAGTACCTCCAGGTGTTCAACTGTCCAGAAGCTCTCCAAACTGTCCTTTTGGGTTTTTATGGATACTTCATTGCATGGGCATGATTGAAGCATTGTAACCATGAAAAAATGTGATTGGACAAAAAGGGTATGACCCAATGGTAACAACAGACTCCATGGGAAGCCCAGCAAAGCCTGTCTGTTCAGATTGTTCCTGGTCTCTGCAACCTTCCTTCCAGGTATGGGGTACAACCCCTTCTGGAGTGGGGGACTTAGGATCTTGTATCAGAGAATTTCTTTATGGCCAGCTCCAATACAGAAAGGCTGGGGATAATCAGAGTTTATTTTTAGTTTGTGTGACCTGCTTTAGGGAAGGGAAGAGAAGCAGATAAAAGGAGAGTAAGAAATGTCAGAGAGGGATTTTTCTTTCTGAGACCTAAAGCACCCACTTTAGTCACTTAAGAAAAACAAGATATGTGGAAGTAATGAGCCAGGAGCCATGAACAAAAGCAGAGCATGTATATCATCATATCACATTGGCCTCCCTGACTCTGAAGGCCATGGTCTTTTCATTTGTCTTTTATTCTCAGATATTGTTGGGAATTTTTCACTCATACACAGTAAAATAAGGAAAAATGGACTGAGTTTATTGCAATTAAATTTGTTTAAACTCTTAAATAGGTCCTTTGTTAAAAATATTAGCATATAAAATTATAGCAGTGCACTAGGTAGTTTTGGTTTTTTAATGTTCTTGACTAAAAAAAAAAACAAACAATAGCCTCTTCTTTAGTTTTCTACTAGTTACTGAAACTCAGAAATTTACGAACTGCCACATAGTACCACACTGGTTCCTAAACAGAAAACAAAGTTGCATTCTAATACTGTGTTCTATACCATACTAGTTTAGTAAATAAAAATCATTTGGGCTGTAGAAAGAAATGTTGGTAATTCAGAATCGTAGAGGTGGCCTGGGTCCTTCTCTTTCGTTATCCCCTGTTGGAGGTGTGTACTACGTATATAGTACCTCATACATATTAGGTGCCTAGCAAATACTTTTGAGCAAAGGTCTTTTTACATTAAAGTACAGGGGCCAGTTTTATAGATGTTATTTCGCTGTTCCTACTTTAGTAGACAAGCGACTGGACAACAGCTGCTGAATAGTTCAGCAGCTTTCCAGGATGTTATTCATTATTATGTACAGGAAGATCCTCTCCATTCTTGAGTTTACACACTTGAGAGATTCACTCTTGTACCTAGCCAGTTCATTAATAGGGTAGCTGTTGTTCTAGTACACAGGACATTAATCTCTTTTAGGAACATATTGTCATTTTTTGGGACTCTTTTAACCTTAGGTTCAGCATCCAGGAATTTTGTTAGTCCTAGGAATCTTGTATGTGTATTTGTGGGTCCATCCTAGGGGAGAAGAGTTTGGGTGCAGGAAGAACTTAACTGTTTGAATGCTTTATGAAGGAGTACTGATTACATTTACAGAGTCCTGGGATCAGCCATTACAGGAAGACAAGGAAGAAAGAAGAATCTCATTTCAACAGCAGTAGTGGAGTAGATTTTGGGGAGTTTGAAGCAAGGGGTAGAGTGGCAGGAAGAGGGATATATT